AAAGAAATTACAAGAAACTATTCTTTCCGTTTTGGAACCCTATCTTGATCAAAATTACCATGTCTATCAAGACAATTATTATAACAGTGTGGCAACTGCAGAACACCTATTTTTGAGAAAAGTATGTGTTTGTGGAACAATTAGGGTGAACGGAGGCCTTCCTCCAGATCTGAAAGAGGAATGTAAATCCTTGAAACGTGGTGAAACCACATTCAGGAGGAAGGGGGATATTCTTCTTCGGTCCTGGAGGGATACTCGTGTTGTGAATATGATTTCCACAATTCACAATTCGAGCATGGTTGATGCTCAAAGGAGACATGGACAGGTAAAGAAGCCTGTTTGTATTTCCGAGTATAATATGTTCATGAAGGGAGTTGATAGAGCCGATCAGTACTTGGCCTATTATTCTCTTCCTCGGAAAACAGTAAAGTGGACAAAGAAAGTTGCCTTGTGGCTTATAAATTGTGCCATTTTCAATTCATTTTTGGTTTTCAAAAATCTAAACCCTCATTGAAAATTGAAATACAAGGCATTTCTGCTGAATGTGGCAAAAGCGTGGGCTACAGACCACACGGTGGCGGCAGAACTGGCAGCAGACACAGTCTTAGTATGACTGGGGCCGTCTACTCCCACCCCACGCAGGCCTCATTTTGACCCCCCCTGGGTAATTCTCGGGTGATATGCGGAAACATACCCTCGTGAAAATTGTGAAGAGTGAACATTTCAAGGGGAAGCAGCCTTCTAGGCAATGCCGTGTTTCCGCAATTCACAAGAAAAGAGTAGGACTGCTTACATTTGCAAGTTTTGTATAATGCCACTTCACAGAGGGGAATGTTTCGAGAAATATCACACCCTCAAGCACTTCTATAAGCATTGGTAAGTGTTCTAAAAAAATTTTAGTTCATAAAATTAATTAGGAGATTTTATATTAATTTTTAAAGTTAACAGTGCACAAGTTAGGATAGTAGGTATAAAAATGCCGGTCCGCAGGGTGATTTCAATATTTGAATTGCCGGTCCGCAAAGTGTTAAGGTAGATTTTAAAGAAATAATTTGAAATGGTTTGTACTGAGTCTGTTTGCCACAGAATATGATGAACACAGTAGTGAACCCTTTCAGGCTTTCTCAGCAAATCCTATATGCATTGCTCTTCTCACCTATGCCTGCTATATGAGCTGCCCATTTCATCCTCCTTGACTTTAGCTTTTAGGCACAATAAATAACTTCATGTAACTGAATGAGTCCTTGAGAAGCCACCAGTTGCTTGGCCACTGAAGAATTTTCCAACATTGTATAGTTTATTGACGTTCGCCAAAACCCTTCCTAAGTACCTATCTTGAGCCATGTGAATCCAGTCCACACCACCCTATCCTATGTCTCTTAAAGAACCACTTAAATATTATCTTTCCACCTATGCCTAGACCTTCCTAGTGGTCTCTTTCCTTGTGGCTTTCTCAACAAATCTTATATGCATTCCTCTTCTCCCCCATGCCTGCTATATGAACTGCCAATCTCATCACCCTTGACTTGGTCATATAATTATGCTAGGTGAATGAACATTACAAGCTGTGGAGCTCTTCATTATGATGTTTTTAGGCACCAAAAAAGCAGATACAATGGAACCTCGCTTAACGAGCATAATTCGTTCCAGAATCTTACTCATAATGTGAAACACTTTAATCGAAACAAATTTTCCCATATAAATTAATGTAAAATACAATAATGTGTTCCATACCGAAAAAAATACTCAAAAAATTTTATATTTAACGTTTATTAAAAAAAAATTATATATACACTTACATTGTTAAGGAGCGTGAATCATCTTCATCTTTTCTTTTATGCAGAATGAACCAACCTGGAATTCGAATTTGATTTGCAGAAAACAAGAAAAAAATCGAAATAAGTAGTTTATTATTTATGATACATATCTAATTCTTTTTTACTAGAAAGCTGTCTAGAGACATTTGTTTTTGCCGATGCTTCAAAATTTGGTGAAAATGCGACACAGCATTATCATTAAATAAATTTGTAGTGTGCATAACCACTGCCTTATTAGGGTGATGCTTCTAAATGTACGATGCAACAGTTTCCCATGCTTTCAGCATTTCTCTTATCACGCCAGAAGATTGTTGCTTTGCTGTTACCTCCTCCTCCTCCTCTGACAAACTGTCCTCAACAACTTCTTGCTGTGAAACATCGTGCAAATCGTTGATGTAGACTGATTGTATGTGTGTGCTAGATCAGCCACACTCACACCTCGTTCTCGCTTCTCATTGATTTTATGTTTCATTTCTACGGTTATTTTTGTTCTATTATGGCTGTCTTTTTGTGGCTCTTTCTTCGGGGACATTTTTGCAAGAGTTATTAAACTTTTCACAGAAAAAAATCACAAATAATATGTCTGAACACATGTTTGGAAAAATGTGTGATCACAAGTGACACTAAGATGCTAGCGGAATGAGCGATAAACACAGACTGATGTAGCAAGCGCACAATCCGGGACTTTCCCTCTCGCCACTTGTTATGTGAAACGTCGCTCATTAAGCGAGTCATATTTTTACAATTTGTTTTGCTCCTTATGCAAATTACTCATTATGAGAGATGCTCATTAAGCCAGGTTCCAATGTATTTTTTGTAATGCCGCAGTGACTGGCAGTTCCTCAGGAAGGTCACTGAGCTATGAACCGAGTAATTTCTAGTAATCATGAGAGCTGTAGAGAAGAGCATCTGTACAAAACAGCTCGTATGAGTTAGATGTGATGAGAAACAGCCAAAGCAAGGAAAGCATACGCTGTTTAATGTGTGGTATTGTGCATCCATTTCTGAGAAGGATATGATGGTTTTTACAGAACTGTACAAATTTGGAGAATGTTTTAGTGGGTCTGTATGATGAGACATACCCAACACCTCATGATGCAGATCAGGCCATGAAAGTAAAAGCTGAGTCAGTCTCAGATGCAGAAGAGGAAGAGGATCCTGTCCCAATAACATTTCCGGAAATAAAGGCTGAACCTGAGGTGAGCTGTGTGTGCACTGTTAGGCAGATGACACAAATGTGCAGAAATGCTACTTGTCTTTCTGATATCCATCTCTGTGAACATGAAACAGCTCTACTGCGCTGTTGACTAGATTTTGAAGGGTTCCCCCCCATGAAATGTTTCTAGGCAACTGTAGTACATTGAATGCTGTGTGTGATGTACCACTCCACTAAGCAATGCTTTGTTACTACATCATAGAGTTCCCAGAATCTATAAATGCTGAAGTTTATCATTTATTTGTTTTTTGTCTTCGATGCAGTCTGTATCCATGTAATAACATAGAACTGTCATTATGTTGAGGATTTGTTATAGGATAAATAATGATTCTCTATAGCTTTGTGATAATGTTTGACAGATTATAGACACGTGTTGCCTGTTGCCCTTTGTTTGAAGTAAATTTAATATACCTGACACTGTTTGAGTGGCCTCTGTGCCTGCTGTCAGGTGGCTGGTTGTCATGACAGATTTTTTTTTATGTTTTCGGTTAGACAGAAAGGTGACTAAACGTTAGATACAGAGAATGTGTAAGAGGTATAGAAAGCAATAGTGAAGAATTGGCATTGGCAACACATCCTAAAATATAGACGCAATTGTGGTGAAGTGGTATCTACAATGGATGTAATTAAACACACAAAGAAAGCTAGTAATGAACATCAAAGAAAATTTCTACATCTACATATAGACGGAGGTTCTTACTTTTCTCAGCCAGTTCACAGCGAGTGATGCACCACTGGCTGGCTGCAAGGTGCATACAAATTTTGCCAATGAATCAGTATGCCTGTGACCAGTAACGTTTGGAATGAAGTATACACTTCACAGGTCACAGAAGATGTTGAAAATGCTGTCCCCCTACACGTAAACATGCCTTGAACCAGCAGAAGGGGTTCTGATTAACCCTTAAAGCTCTTGTGCCAGAATTGTTACAGTTTCCCTATGAATATTTTTTTTAGTTCTTCCTCATAGGGTTTACTCTTTTAAACTTTGTCCTGCAAAGAACCACAGAAGAAAATATCTAAGAATTAAGGTTGGTTGAATGTGCCTGCCAAATACCAATGCTGATATTTCTGTCCCCGAAAGTACCAGGCAAAGCTTGCATAGATGTATGTAAAATGTGGGCAGTAGCTTAGTCTTGCTGAAAGCAGCCATAGAGTCTTTTTTCTCTTGTAACTCTCAAAAGAATTGTCTGAGAATGACCTGTACATAATTTTTTTTTACTTGGTGGGGGTGTGACTGAGTCCACTTGGTATGGTGGCCACTTCTGGCCTATTGTACCAGCCCCAGATGATAGTTGAGGGTGGGTATGGAGCAGTTGGTGGAATGAAGATTGGCAGAGGAAACCGAAGTACTCGGAGAAGACCTGCCTCAGCGCCACTTTGTGCACCACAGATCCAATTTGACCAGACCCGGGATCGAACCCAGGCCACCGCTGTGAGAAGCCAGTGACTAACCGCTTGAGCTATGGCACGGCCTTTGAACTGTACATATCTTTCACAATTAATTGTACCTGTAAAAAGGCAGGTAGAGCAATCCTTGTTGCCTTTACAGCAAGCCATTCTCCAACTTTCACTGGATGGAGGCATACTTCATGGGTTGGATGTGGATTTAATGAAATCCAGTAGCAATTATTTTTTGTATTTATGTATCCCTTCAAGTAAACCCATGCCTCATCAGAAAAGAATGTCAGTTCGAGATGAAAACCTTAAATATTTTTTTTAGTATTATTTATTGTGCAGAAGTGGTACAAAGCTGTATCACTTTTCAACATAATCTCCCCCATGCTCAATGCAAGTCCTCTAGCACTTACAAAGTGCATGAATTTGTTTAGAAAAAATTCTTTTGGTAGTCCGTGCAACCACTCATGCACTGCGTGGCATACCTCTTCATCAGAACGGAACGTCTTTCCTCCCATTGCTTTGAGTGGTCCAAACATATGGAAATCACTTGGGGCAAGGTCTGGTGAGTATGCTGGGTGAGGAAGACACTCAAAATGCAGGTCATTGATTGTTGCAACTGTTGTACGGGCAGTATGGGGCCTTGCATTGTCATGTTGCAAAAGGATACCTGTGGACAGCAATCCATGTCGCTTTGATTTGATTGCAGGCTGAAGATAATTTTTTAGGAGATCTGAGTATGATGCACTGGTGACAGTGGTCCCTCTAGGCATGTAGTGCTCCAAGATGACGCCTTTTTCGTCCCAAAAGAGAGTCAGCATAACCTTCCCTGCTGATGGTTGTTTTTGAAACTTCTTCGGTTTTGGAGATGAGCAATGGTGCCATTTCTTGCTCGCTCTCTTTGTTTCCAGTTGGTGGAAGTGAACCCAGTTTTCATCCCCAGTAATGATTCTTGCAAAGAAGTTCAAAGCGCCGCAGAAGTTCTTCACAAGCATCAATACGTTGGTCTTTCAATTCAGGAGTCAGCTGCCAAGGCACCTATCTTGCAGACACTTTGTGAAACTGGAGCACATCGTGCACAATGTGGTGTGCTGAACCATGACTAATGTTTAAACTTGCTGCAATTTCATTCAGTGTCACTTGGCGGTTTTCCGTCACTATGGCTTCAACTGCTGCAATGTTCTCTGGAGTGACAACTCTATGTGCCTGACCCGGATGAGGAGCATCTTCCACTGAAGTCACACCATTTGGAAACTTCCTACTCCATTCGTACACTTGCTGCTGTGACAAACATGCATCACCATACTGAAACTTCATTCTTCGATAAATTTCAATAGGTTTCACACCTTCACTACACAAAACCCGAATAACAGAATGCTGTTCTTCCCTGGTGCAGGTCTCAAGTGGGGCAGCCATCTTATACTGGTGCTGTAACGGTGTTCGTGCATCTGCACTATGCTGCAACCTACAGGCTATTCTGCACGCTGCTTGTAGCATGCTTACCAACTTACAGGATAATGTCGCGAAATTTCGATTTTTTATAACAAATTTAAGGTTTTCATTTGACTCACCCTCGTATGTTGGTGTGTGTGTGTGTATATATATATATATATGTATA